CATGTTACGCTTTTAGCAAAGCATGTTTTTAAACGTTCCGCTAAGGAACGTATCGTTACGATAAATTAATTTAACTATTGCTGTAGTGCGTGTATCTTAGTTATCCTATTTATTGCCAGACTTTGTAAAAATATCATTGACAAGGAACTACTTTTTTTTTTTGCGGATAGCTAAAAGCGGAGCCCATTCTTAAGAAAATACGAACACTTAAAAAAATATTTGGTCTGCGTTGCGTTCGACTTCACGCAATCTTGATACCGTGTTGCCGTTCTTGTGCTCCATGTTCAGGCGATACTGATGAGTATCCCGTGACAATAACTGTATTTTGACCTCCAACAGTTGACTGTCCCGTGGTTTGGACAGACTATGAAAAGCAGAAAACCTGACTCTTGATAAAGATACCAAACTGTACAAGAGGTTCCCTATTAATAATAATAATAATGATAATATAATTATATCGGTATTACCGAGATGTTGCTGTCAATCCCGAGAAAACAAAAAATTGGTCTACTTCGTAATTCAGTTCTCAAATCAATCCCGTGCATTTTCCTCGGTTGTCAGCGGAGGAAAGGGGCTGATGAAAACTCCCCGGTACTGATGCCTATTACAAGAACTTGCGCAGTTTTAAAAAAAGTTCTCAGAACAGACTCTCTTTGTGTTCAGAATAAGGGGGGTGGGGTAGGGGAGGATCTGTGCGATCAAGTCTGACATGTGGAAAGTACACAGGACATAAACTCTATTTTAGTACTGTTGTTACAGTTTTAGAAAATACGCATGCATATCACCGTCTAAACTGTTTATCGTTATCATGCACGATAAAAATGTCCAAGAAAAAAAACCGAAAGCGGAACAGAATCGTTGAGACATCAATGGTTTCTCCTTATCATCTTCTTTCTATATGGCCCTTCGCCCTCCTCTTCCCCTTGCCCTCCCCACATAGAAAACAAAGTTCTGTTCGGTTTGCTGAAAAGTTTGCTTTTAAGGAATAACAAAATTTCAGCTAGCCATAGCGTATTGTAATGTGATAGGTAATTTCTCTTCGCGGAATACTATGTATTAACAGTTTCGTCACCGATACAGGAGACAGACTTTGAATAAAGTAACATTCAGAATAACACCAACGAAGCAGATACGTTTGAGAATTTCTTGTCTTAGCTGATGCATATTCATTCATGTTTAGCGTTTAGACTGGGTATTGGGGGGGAGGGAGGCATCTCTTAAAAAAATTCGCCTTTATTGTTTGCAAACTGCCACTGGCAGTCTGGTAAAGTCACCCGCACAGTGTTGTAAAGCGCTTTAAACATAGGATAAGAGCGTTATAGAAGTAAAAGTTATTATTATTATCATTATTATTATTATTATTATTAATTATGATCATCATTATGATTATTATAAGAAGTGTGTATCCATGAGCTTTTCTGGAATTTTTACTGGACATTTTGACGCATCTATTTTCGATTTTTAAGCATTTCATCATAATTTTTGTAAATACTTTTAGTGATTATAGTGAATAAAGATTATCATTATTATTATTATTATTATTATTGTTATTATTACTATTATTATTAGACCAATCGCGTTCAAGCGAAATTATGAGATTGATTAAATATCTGATTAGGTCTCGGGCATTATTGTCCACCTGTCATCCATTTTTTCGAGAGGTAACAATCGTAGTCACGTCATTTGAGGCTTAGAGAAGACAGATTCTGGTTGCCTAGCCGCCTGAATATAATACGGCTCCTCATAGCAGTGTTCGTATGATCCAATTCTCCCTTCTTTCACAGAACAGAACATGCTTACCGCCTTGTAAAGAAATGCTGAGAAGCGAAGCAGTAGAATGATTGTAGATTTATTCTTCAGTTGAACTTTATCTGTTTGTTCATATAAGCGAATTGTTAATTTTTTTTTAATTAAGGTCAACATACTTCGAAGACGATACCAATCGTATAAAAAGTCATAATTGTTGATCACGCCCATCAAACTGTCATATTCCAAGCCTCGGTCTCACTTTGAGCCACACGTTGGTAAGTATTCCTTCGCTCTTTTCTTCGCACCAATTAAACGGAAAGAGAGAGCGAGGACTGGAACCAACTTGCCACCGTGATACTGGAACATGTAACCATTGTACCTTACCGCGTAGTTTCAACTGTAGCACTATATCATTCTGTGTGAATCTGCAGTGAATGATGAATCCTAGGAGTCTTATTCCTCTTTGTCTATATCTTCCTGCGTAGTAGGTGATGCCCATGGCTGGCGTTCTCCTGAACAAAGCCATGTGTAGAAAATTACGGCGATAACATATATAATAAGTGTGATCCAGAACACTATCCTCCAATCTTCTTGTGTCTGAATGAGAAAAAGAATTACAGCCTTTAAACTTGCTAAATGGACTATCACTATCAACAGTCAAGTGCACATGACAGAAAAAGCGCAGATTCAGTTTCGAAACAAACCATACGCATGCGTGGTTTGTTACCTTGAGGTTCTTCTTGTACAAGTATACTTACTTTGTTTGAAGTAACAAATCCTGTTATTTGAGGGCTTATGAATCCAGGAGTTGATGCAAACGTATTAGTGAGGCCCATAAGCACCCCTGCAAAGGGTGGGGCAATGTCCAAATGATTGACAGCGTAACCAATTGCATTTAAACCAGAAAATCCAACACCTAACACCAGGAATATAACACTTGTTCTCCTTTGCTGAGTATAGCCGGTTGCTACTATAAATATTCCAGCTAATAAACAACCTATGGAGAGAATCGGAGAAAATTTATCTTTTATTGAATCTTGAAGTCAAAATTTAATCCACCGTCCAGTGAGGTTTACGTCTGGCTCGCTTACATCTATCCACATACACTCAGATTATCATTAAGAAGTGAACCATTACAGAAAATGAACGTGCAAACACTAGATTGAAAATTTAGGTATCTGAATTAGGGTCTATTTAACGAGACTGAGCGGTTCATACTCGATGCTAATGTTCGCTTGTTAACTGTTTTCCTGGAGTCCACCGCGTGCGATTACGACATCGTAGTTCTTAGCCTGCAAGCAGGTCCTTTTGATCGGCCCTACACACATTAGCTTTTAGTATGCTTATCTAAGGGATTGCGCAAGCGCGGCCGGACGGGTCATATGATAATTTTACTAATCACGGCGACAAAGACGATCATATGCGAGCCTTAGCAGAATCATAAGTTTATGGAACTGGCCTTAGCGATTGCTAACGACTTACAGATATACAAATGTAAGTATTACCTGCCCCGTAGAAAGTTTTTCTTACTGTACCAATTCTACAAATCTTGTATCTTATGAGCATATCAGCTGTTATTCCTCCCACTGGACCTAAGATGGCTTTAAACAAATAAGGACAAGCGGCTAAAAATCCAGTCTGAAACGAGACAAAAAAAAGATATTGTCTTTGCGTCGGCAGTTGAGTCCATAAGTTCTATGTACCTCCTAAAAAAAGCAAACGTCTCTCTGGTGGTTTTAATAATTTTTTGTACGTTTGACTTTTCGTTGCTTAGTCTCTACCAGAGTTACTCAGAGTAAATGCGGAGAAAAGTCTACTGGTAAGGCTCATCTTTTCAGCGTCTCGAGATGGCCCGGCTGAACAAGACTAGCAACGTGGCAATTAAAGAAAAAAAAAAATTCAAAAACTACCTGAGAGCTGGATTAAATCATAGTCATAAACGATGGATAGTTCTCATTTGATGTTTCATCCGTGAGCTTTGAGGACCCGAATCACAAAATCATGTTCTCAAAAACAATCATTTGGTAGAGTAACGGTAGATAAACCATTGTAATGAATTTGAAAAGTCGACGATTTGAGCGATATTCCTTCGTCATAGGTCTGACAGAGGGATCCCCCTAAGATTTATTTCAAGTTAGGGCATTGAACTTTTTCAAAAATTGCCACGGTTGCTTACCTAACCGTACAGAATCAAAGGAATAAATGCTTATTGTTTCACTTCACTGGAGATGCGACACAGCAACTAGTTTCTTCAGAAATCAATAACCTAGAATTTAGCTTACGTACTTGCTCAATATCAAAATCTAAAACGTCTTTAAAGTACGTGGGCATTCCAGTGAATAGTGTGTAATATCCCCAGCATGCTCCAAAGTGGCCTAACACTATGGCCCAAACTGGTGGTGACTTCAAAATATCTGACCAAGGAAGGCTTTCAAACTGTGAATTGAAAAAGGGTAGCTGTGATCCTCTGGTTGCAACAATTGAAAGATAGATAAAGCCGGATTGAACTTGAAATCTAGAAGATTCTTGAACTGAATTTCTTAATTTGCCTTCAGATTGTTACCAAGTACAAACGTAGGTCGCGAAGCACTAGGATGTTGCATAGCACACTTTCATCATTTCTCCTTTTTTTTCATCAAGGCAGGTCAGACTGTCAAACTCATGTCATATTGGCCTTTGCCAAGAGTTTATAATCCTAGATTTGTCGTAGGACATATAACTTTCCTGGTTCATGTATGCTAGCATCACTCAAACAGTCACGAACTTCAGTTGATGGGAAAACATATGAGTTTCATCACTCTTATAAACGCCGCATGAAAAATTTGTTGGAAAGGAACGATTTCAGAAGCATGCGAGCTAATCAGCTACTACCAATGATAATCTGTTGCCATCAATGACATCAACCACTTCTCCTATCCTGTAATTTGAGAAAAAAACGAAATTTTTTTTCTTTCTCTGGCTGACCCTTTCATAACATATCCCCTTACCTCAGCTTTATCATCAGAGCCACTAATACTTGTCTCAATAAAATTCTTTTCTGTTTCTGTTATGGTGGGATGTCATGCTGGCGAATCATGAACGATCATCTCCCAGGCACAGTACCAAACTATCCCGGATAACCCTACAACGCACATGAACACGTGACATAAAAGATTGCTGAATCATTACAGTTAAAAATTACAATAAAACCCTGCTAACTCGAACTCCCTGGTGAAACGAAAAAT